TCAAGGGATTGTATTAGGTCATATAGTGTCTATAAAAGGGATAGAGGTAGACAAAGCAAAGGTTAAGTTGATTTCTAACCTCCCTACCTCTAAATCTATAAAAGATGTCTAATCATTTCTTGTTTATGTCGAGTTGCATAGGAAATTCATAAAAGGTTTTACTGTGCTGGCACGAACTTTGTGTAATTAATTGGTCAAGGATGTTCCTTTTGAGTGGTGTAATAATTGTGAGATAGCTTTTCAAAATCTTAAAAACATGTTTATTTGGGATCTTCCCTTTGAACTCACATGTGATGCAAATGATTATGCAATTGGCATAGTGTTTGACCAATGGCAAGATAAGAAACCTCATGCCATCTACTACGCTAGGAAAAAATTTGAATGAGGCTCAGATGAATTACACTACCACTGAAAAGGAATTGCTAGTGGTAGTCTTTGCCTTAGATGAATTTAGGTTATACATTATTGGTTCGCCTATTGTTGTTTAAACTAACCATGCTACTTTGAAGTATCTTTTGTCTAAGTAGGATGTGAAATCAAGGCTGATTAGGTGGTTTCTCCTACTTCAAGAGTTTCATATAATCATTAAAGATAAGAAATGAGTGGAGAATGTGGTGGCTGACTATTTATCAAGATTGATGTTCCAAGACACAGATGAGCATATTCCTATCCTTGATTCTTATCCTGATTAGCATTTGTTTTCTATTAATTTAGTTGTCATGGTATGTTGATATAGTAACTTATCTTGTTACAGGGTAGCCACTTGTTCAATGGAGTCCACAGGAGAGGAAAAAATGTTGGTGCAAGTGAAGTAGTTCTACTTTGACAATCTCTACTTGGTTAAGTATTTCCCTGACCAAGTGACAAGTTGATGTGTTCCCGATGAAGAGCAAAGGATGTGATAGCATTTTGTCATTTAAAGGCTTGTGGAGGTCACTTCTCATCTAAAAAGACTTCATCAAAGATTCTTTAATGTGGTTTTTATTGGTCGTCTCTTTTTAAAGATTGTTTCCTATTTTGCAAGTATGATAGATATCAATGGTTAGAAGATATAACCTATAGAAATATGATACTCCTTACCCCCATACTTGTTATAGAAATTTTTGATTGTTGGAGCATTGATTTTATGGTTCCTTTTTCTATATCTTATACTTATATTTTATTGGTAGTTGATTACGTGTCAAAGTGAGTAGAGGCTATCCCAACTAGGATAAATGATCACAAGGTTTTCATCAAATTTTTGAAAGAAAATATTTTATCTAAAAGTGAGTAGAGGCTATCCCAACATAGACTAATGGCCAAGCTGAATTGGCTAATAAGGAGATTAAGCACATACTTGAAAAAAATGGTGAACTCCAATAGAAAGGATTGATCACTTAGGTTGACTAATGCTTTGTGGGCATACTGGACTGCATATAAAACACTGTTATATATGTCTCCTTATAGGCTAGTTTATGGTAAATCTTGCCATTTGCTAATATAGATGGAACACAAAGCATATTGGGCTATAAATTCTTTGAAAGCTTTGATTTGTTGATTGAAACTTGAGTCTATTTGCATATTGGCTAATTGATGGAATTTATTCTATGTTTGAGTATTATGCTTGTATTATCATTAGAAACTCAATTTTATGTACACCATGATCATCTAATTCTTGCAGTTTATTGGATATAATTTTTATCTTAAAAATCTTGACATGTGTAGTAAAGATGAATATATTACCCTATTAGTTTAAAGTCTATCTTGTAGAAGTAAAGAAATTCTTAGCTAGAAAGTTTTTAGGGTAAGGTTTTCTTTCTTCTGACCAGATTTTTTTCCTAGGCAAACGTCCTTTTAAAACTGATTGAATAGGGGTATTTATAGGCACTGAAAGGGGGGGTAAGGCAGTAGACACCCAGGTTGACCAATTAGATGATTCTGTTGCTTTTTTGTACCAATAGGAGAAGAAGAGAGGTAAGGTGGTTTAGGGTACTGTCTAGACGGCACCACCAAAGGTGGAGATTCTCTAGTAATTGCCTTTTGTAGCCTTGCTTTATTGACTTGTTGACTTCTTAATTATGCTTGCCTCTCTTCTCTTGTTTAGCTTGTGCACTTTTATTCCTTTGAACTTCCTTAATTATCCTTGATACCCTAAAAAATAGATAAATTAAACATTAATCATAATACTCTATAAATCAACCATTTTAACTTACTTTACGCACACATTTAACCCTAAATTTTGATTCATTACCGCACTATTCAGGGTTAATCAACCACAAAGATGCATTATGAGTGGAAAAACACATAAATTTGAAAGAATTCACTTACCGTCTTTGCGACTCAATATCCATAGAACTCCTCCGAATCCTCTTCCAAGAACTTTGAGTTCTTCAACTCTTCAATACACAATCACCACTCAATTCCTTATGCACAAGCACTCATAACTCAAGAACAAAAGAATTAGCAATATATTTTCAAAACCCATATACTTAAACCTTTCTTCCCAAATTATTTTCCCTCAACCAATTGAACCAAAGATCCCCTTATATGCTCCTCATGCACTGAACTGGAGTTCTCCCTATGAGGCCAGGTGTCCTCCTAACTCTCCACTTTTTCCATAACTACACTAACTTCCCCCTTATTCTTTTATTTTAACATTTAATATTAGCAAATTACACTTTAATCCTCAATATTTATAAAATGCAATGTTATGCATGCTCATGTCTCACATTTTGTGTGTTATGTATGGATTTATTCTTTGTAGCTTCACTGTTAAACAAGATTTGTAAATTGAATAGCAACAATCAAATTTTGTGAAGGGCTCTAAGAGACCTGTCTCAAACCGCAGCCCCCCAAACTATCTTACCAATATATTTTGTCAAATTCACTGTCACAGTATGTTGTCACACCATTGTGTCACGTTTATTTGTCACAATTTTTGTTTTTCTTACCACTTTTTTTTTTGGTCAAATTTACTATCACAATATGTTGACACACCGTTGTGTCACGTTTATTTGTTACAATTTTTTATGCCATTTTGCTTTGCCACATTTTTTCCATGTTACTCTAAAATATTAATTTCAAGTTATGGAAAAAAAAAAAAGAAAAATTGTTTATCACATCAAGGACTTTTTGGAATACAAAATGGATGTGAGACAATACACAAAACCTAATATGTGAGAATTGAAGAAAGTGAAATTTCGTTTTTCATGTAATTCGATCCTAAAATTTAACAGCATAGAAATGTTGTTGATAATCGACACAATGACTTCTTGAAGAGGAGAAGATTTGATGACTAATTTTAGAAGATAGAATTTGTCAATGGTTGGCTAAAGAATACAAAACATTTTGGCTAGCAAAATCTTACATGAATTAAGTTAATTAATCCTTTCCAAATTCAAACGGTTAACTAATCTCTTAATTTAGGGAACCTCTTATCTAATAAAATTGAATAAAAAAAGCAAGAAAGAAAACTGCCAAAATCTTGCATGAATTAAGTTAAAGGCAATTACAATATACAAATATATGCAAAACTGAAATGTGTACTTGGTAACCAAATATTTAAGAGAATAAGGAGTTAATGACTGAAAAGACTGAGCTATAGACTTTAAGACAAATAAGTTCTGAAAAGTGTACCCTTTGATAATTTTTCCTTAAATTTATCGAATGGACCATATTTTCAACTTATAAATCTAAGACATCTTTTACAATTGGGGTCTCAATTCCATGGTAGTGTTTTAAAACTCGATTTAGCAAGGCGGGTTGATTCGATAAACTGGGTTAGTTATCATATTAAATCGTTTGAGCACAAAAATCGCCCAAAACCTGCTAAACTGAGTTGTTTTCCCCCCAACCGTTCAAACTAGGTGGATTTTAACAAACCAAAAAGTTCAATTAAATAGCTATTAAAAAATTGGGTTTTTTGGGCATTTTTGCCCAAATTGTTTTGTTGTTGGTTTGGCCTCTACGTCTCTACCTCTCTCAAGTCCTCGATGGGTTGAGGATCCTTTGTTGCTAATTTTCTAACATCAAAGGTGATGTTGATTAAAACGACATCATTTTGATCTATAACGAAATCACTTTGTTAAATAGAATGTCATTTTGATCAACAGTAGAGGAGTTGTACTCATCCTCGACATCCGAAGCTCAAGCCTGAGCCTCAATCACTCAATCATCTCTCTCTCTCTCTCTCTCTCTCTCTCTCTCTCTCTCTCTCTCTACTAAAGTAGAACTACGACGAAGATCTCCTTCTGCAACGTGCGACCCTCGACCACCATCATTGAAGATTTACTTCACTCACTTAGATGCTGTATGCTCAATGATTTACTTTTTTTCACTTGATACAACAAGGACATGTCTCTATCTCTCTATCCGAGCAATTTAGGGAGTAGTTAAGTAGTTGATACTTGATATTGTGTAAATTTTGGTCTATTTCAGCATTGATTATATTATCAATTTTAAACTATGCAATTAATAGCAGTAATGTGATCAACAACTCAACAGATTCGGCAAATTTTTTATGAATCTTGAAATTATTTGCTATTTTTTTTTTCAATTATGTTGGGGATAAAATTTTATATACCATACAGAATGTAGATGATGAAATTGAATTCTTCTTTGATTCATGAAACTAGCCAATGCAGATTAGTCCTATCCAAACCAATTATGTTGGTGATGAAATTGGTCACATGTTTGATAATTTTTAGGTTTTTTTTTGATCCAATATACATTAAATATGTTATTATCATAATTATTATAATTTCTAAGTCTATTCATTATTATTATTAATAATTTCAAATTTTTATTATAATACATATTGTTCCAATCAATGATTCAACTGTTAAACCAGTCACTCCTCAAATCGGTCTCTTTTCCAAGTTGATATCCGGGCCGGACTTCAAAACTATGGTCCATGGCCTTACGTTTGGGCTGGCTGTTTAAGGAATTGCTTACTTTTCCTACAAGTTTTAGGATTTATTTTTACTTTTCCTGCAAGGTTTGGATTTTGGTGATCGATTTTTAGGTTCCGCTTCTAGGGTTTTTCTTCTCTCTCCTCTTATGTTCGTTTCGATTTGCTTCTAGCAGCTCAATTAGCCATTATTCCTTGAAAATTTATAATCTATAATCTCCAATCCCCATAGGGCCGGTTAATTTTTATATAGGTAGGAAGAACATTGTTGCCAACTTGGGCTACACTCGATTAATGTCTTTGTTTGGGAAATTTGATCATACGATTCTGATTAGAGAAGTTTTTTTGTTCTTTTTCCCAGATTTTCATCAAGAACCATTCACTCTCTTCTTGGTTTGTCGATTTCTGAAGAAATACAGAGCTCTCACGACTCGAAGCAGGCATTAATGGGTCCTTCGCAGTGTACCCCTGGGAGTTGCATCACAGGAGAGGTTTCTGTGAATGGTCTCGAGGAGGGTCTGAGTAAGTGTTTACAAATTCAAGATTACAAGAACAAGAATGATAATCGAAACGTAGAGAAGGAAGATAAACCTCAAGAGTCTCAAGAAGAAGATGATGATGACGAGGATGAAGAGGAGGAGGAAGAAGAAGAAGAAGATTTAACTGCCGCAATCCTGGCACAGAGTGGGTATAAAGTTATGAAGAATACTCGGAACAAGGAGAAAGAACAGCCTTATGAAGAAGAGAAGGATGAGCTTGATGAAGAAGATGAAGAGGACATAACTGACGAAATTGTGAAGCAGATGGGCTATTACAAAGATTGTCCTCTCCACACACCTTCATCTTTGCCTCCTGATTTTGAGCTCAAATCCGCCATGAAAGGTTGCAGAGAGAAACAGGGTAAACCACCCGGGACCCGGAGTGTGACATGGGCACCGGACGTTCGCGATCCGACTCCAACGACCTCAGAGCATTATGCAACCAGCAATATTAAAAAGCAGAGTGGTGAGAGCAAGAAGAGTGGGAAGAACAGGCAGAAGTGGGGTGGCAAAGCTTCGGGAGAGGAAAGAGAGGGAAAGAGCAAAGAGAAAGAGAAAAAAAGAAGAAGCAAGTTAAGAAACATGGTGGGAGTTCTGGAAAAAGTATGGGCTCGGTGGATGATAGTGGTGGAAGATTGATTGATGACAGTGAGAAGAAGGGTGGTAAGTTTGTGGGAAAAGGCAAAGGGAAAGAGAGAGAGAGAGAAATAAGAAGCATGGCAAGAGAAATGGTGGGGGTTCCAGTAAGTTTTTTGACTATGATTGAAGCCTTTGTTGGATTTTAGAAGTTCATTAATCTAATTTTTAATTTGAATTAGGAATATAAGAAAAGTGGAGCTTTTACAATGTTTATTTGCTAGTATTTTAATGGTCAGTGGGTGGGTGGGTGGGTCTGAATTTTGGCAACGTTGTCCCCCAAACCCACCATGATTGTAGAGTTGATTGCTCTGTTAATTTATTTGGGAATGATTTCTGCCCACTTAATTTGAACTTGAGTATACAATAGAGAAGCAATCCGATGCACATATGAGCACTTTGGGCAATTGGTATACCAATGTCAAGTCCACACGATTCTCTATGGATAAAGGAGAAAGGATAAAAAGGTCATGGGAATAGGATCTTTACACAATACTATTTGCAGTCTGGAAGGATTTTTATATCCCAATATTGGATAAGACTGGATTAGAGATTCTTTAAGCCAACTCCCCCTTAGCGCAAACGAAGCCATCAGTACTGTTAATTATAGTCCATACACAGGAAATTGTACCAAATAATGAGCCTCTTGTCACGGGGGGTTCTTTATTGCCATGTATTTGAAACTGTTTCACATAAAAGTGTTATAAGAACAAACCACCCAGCACAATTGTAAAACATCTACCTTAAGAAGCCTAATGTATGGGAGGGAGTTCCTAGTATTATTTGTTATTTGGACAGTAGTGCAGTGCTCATCCCAATAGCCCCCATTCACAGCTCACATTCTGAACTAAATTGAGAAAATTCATAATCCAATTGAACATATGGAAACAAAGTCTTAGTATTTGAGAACTGTCAGGTCATTCATTCATTCGCTTTTGGCGAAGAGGCCTCCGAAGCCACTGGACTTCTTGGGTGGAATTGCCACGGAGTTCTTACGAACAGTGGTTCCACCACTCTTTTCCTCCTCTACCTTCTTGAGAATCGGATCAGTTTCCAACAGCTGGTCCTCCTTCTGTAATCCTCCCAATATCCAGTCAAACAGCCCTTTCTCCTCACTGCTTCCACCGGAGCTCTTAGCCGCTGTGGCTGCAGCATATACCTGTCTCCGTGTAGTGGCCACCGGAGGGAATAACATGTTGAGAGAAGCCATCTCTGCTAGTTTCTTCTTTGTCTCTCACACTGAAGTTTTACTGGGGAACGAATAGAGAGAGGAAGGGAAACAAAATGGGTGGGGATAATATATCCTTCTTGTGCTCCCTAATCCTATTGTGAGTTTTATGAATCGTTTGGATGGGCCTAAAGATTGTGAAGAGAATTACATGGACGTGTTTGTATCGCCAACACTCCACAGGTGGCTTATCCTCTCTCATTTCTTTTTTATTTTATTTCTCATTTTTTTTATTTACAATTTTTTCACAGGTGAAAATGAGGATGAAAGCTAACCCTCGGCATATGCAGCTACAAATTTGACAATCGGTAACAGACTAAACAACAAGTTGTAGGAGTCGATTGTCCATTTAAATGGCCGAATCAGCAAAAACTCGCACACAATTTTATTTTATGAGGAATATTACAGGAATCTAATTTAAAGATCTAATGAAGTGATTTTAATATAATTATCAAATTAATTGTGAATTTCAATATTAGATAAAGTACATTACCGATCTAATAATTGTATTAAATTAAGTTCAAAGATTAAGTCACCAAATTAGGTAAATAAACAATCTTAGCTTCTATCGTACATGGTTCAGTCCTTGGATCAGCCCGTTGGTCCGCTGGGCAATCAAGTCCTGATTTCGTCTTAGTCCATCGAGTGACATGCCGTGGACAGATTGACACCGGGGCTGTAACTTTAACCTGCTAGGCCCGACAGATTAGCCCATTTATGACCCACTAATCAGGCCTGATAGACTGGCCCACCATTCAGCTTACTGATCTAATGAAATTCAAAGTATGGTAAGTTTTAGTAAAAGTATACCCAGTAGGGTTAAGCTGATTGCAATCCACTCAAAGTCTATTAGGACTGGCCCAAAGAACAGGCCATGAGCCATAATAATATCTTGAATGCAAACCAGCCTAGCCCGTAGACAGTTCACAACCAACCAACCGGCCCGAAATCCATCCTGGCCCGTTTATTGGCAACCAGGTAGTCCAACCTGAATTGATTCTTGGTGCCGTCAGGAGCAAAAGATTAGAAAACAAAAATGATAGTTGGCGTGAAATAGAACAATAGGCTTCATCAATAATTGCAAAACTTTGTGTTAGTATGCTACAGTAACTTGTACAAGCTGTGTCATTTTTTGCACATTTTCTACTCTCCCTCTATTGGGATGGCACAGAAGAGCAGGTCATCTTCAACAAATTCAAGGGATAGAGCCCTTGCATTCCCAGAGAGCTCTTTGTTTCATGTCAAAAAATTTGCAAACGTTCTGTAATCCCGAAATAGTAAAAGAGCCTGCCCTTTTCCCAACTGAATCTTTTGCTTCTATCCGTTCTTCAGTGGTACTCTTCTATTGTGGCTCGAGAGAGTGTGGGTGCACAAATTGCGACATCCTTGTGAGCGGTTTACAAGAGATTTAATCCAATATTTTCTCACCAGTTGAAAAGAGATTCCACACTACTGTGCCAACCAAATAAAGGCCGACCGAAACCTTGAAAACGTCATCCCACGAACCTGAGAATTGTGAAATGGAAATGTATTGTTGCGTCAAACAGAAGCTTTACATTTCACTCAAGCAGGAAAAACACATTAGTGTCAACAGCGGGCAAAGGCCCTGTAATAAGGTCTGAGCACCTTACTGGGAAGTTATTCGAACAATTTCACATGACCTATATTGATGATACCAGGCACCAAAGGGTTAAGAACCACCCGTCAGTAGACACAGCACTATAATAGTCAACACCATAGTCAAACCACCTGTTTCTAACATTCCTCTGTACCCACTCACCAAGTAGCTAACCTGAAGTGTTCACTGTACTGAGGGCTCGAGTCTTGACCTTTTGGAATACTAGGTTTCACAAAGTTAAACACAACAGTATCCTATCAGAATAATATGTACCTACATAGTTCAAGGCCTAGAATTTGAACCCCCACACTGTCCATGCCCAGCCACAACTAGGGCTTTAAATTGCCCAAATATGAAGCCAAATAGGGCAAGCAAGGACCATATCAAACTAATTCCCTGATTTTTACACAACTATGTAGGGAAAATTACAGAATAATTGCAATGAAGATTGACCATATTGAAGTTCACACAATCTCGAGTTTCAAGGAATCTCCATAGGTGTGAACCAGAAACTAATGGAAGGATCACAAACAGGCACTGAACAATTATCAAGAAATCTTCATAAATATCTCATTAGTATTAATATAGGATATTAATTTGCAACTTAAAAACAGGGGACCTTCTGAAAAAGAAGAAAACTTGAAAACAAGGGATGAGAGAAAACCATGTTGCAAGATGTAACCCGTTGCAGCCGTTCCAAAGACACCAGCAAGCACTCCTGCAGTGTTTGATAGACCAAGCAATACCCCCTGCAAACAAGAGAGACGAAATAAGAGAAAAATGGGGTAGTTTTAGCACTACCTGAGAACCCATCATGCCACAAAACTAAAAATTAAAAAAAATAATAATCAGGGGCATCCATTGGCAAATTGATTCTGGGCCGTAGTTACCATTACTAGATGAAGTGCATGCTCACCAATCAAGGTCCATATTTTTAATCATTACACCAAAAAGAATAAGTAAACACTATGTAGACATTAAAGATCCTGATCCAATAAGTACTCACAGAATATCGAGGAGCAATATCTTGATGGTTTGAATACAAACCAGACTGCGAAAATGCATCAGTGCCCTGTTTTCGAAACGGAGAACAAAGTAAATATGATTGCCAGTAGATAGTGACCAATGTAAATGGGAATAAATATAAGGACAAATAAAATCCAGAATTTCTTTCCAACTTCTTGACAACTCGGCTCTGAATATTTGCATGATGCTATAATTGAATTTCGACAAAACCTAAATGTTCAACTAGCTAACAAAAGGGATTTTTCCACTGTTATGTAATTTCAGTATACCTATCAAAAATATAGGAAGTAAATAAACAAACTTTGGAGCAGCCACGTGTACAGAGAATCCTTTAGAATGAAGTGCAAAAAATGTAAAAAGAAAAAAAAAAAAAAAAAAAGGCAACAAGACCATGCATCCAGTAAAATGCCAAAAGCTTAGGAAGATGGCACATATATCTTGCCCACAAATTGGCTAAACTAAATCATGTTTCAGTGTCTGACAGTTTGATTTCTGGAGCCCCTCTTCAACAATGAAGTGTCCTAATATATTTTTTTTTTTATCTTTTTTAGTTATTATTATTATTTTTTTTTTGGGGGCGGGGGGGGACAGGGCTTTGGTATAAAAATATGAAACTGATTTCAACAGAATGGAATAAAGAATCTGTGTGTGGGGAGAGAGAGTTCTAGGAGTTCCTTGCAATTCTGAGCTAAGCTCTAATGTGCAAAATCTCAAGAAAAGAACCATGGAAATTCAGGCTGAACTTATATCCATCTTTCTATTAGTTTATGTAGTAAGAGCAAACCTGACTACATGCCATGCACAAAACAGCCATGGCAGGTGAATCAACATGGCTCAATTGAGTAAGGAAGAAAGCAGGGCCAAGAAATCCAATTGTCTGCATTATCTGCAAAGAAGATTACAGAACAATACGTAACAGTAGTTTGAACGCTTGATTGACAAAATTGTGAGATAAAAACTTAGTTCCATCCTTCTCATTACAATATGTGCCAGAGAAATTTAAAGCAGTATAAAGAACACCATTAACTTAAATGACCAGTATTATTGGCAAGTCCAACAGTACCAAAGACAATGCGTATTCAGAATTTTAGCAGGGGCAGCCAAGAAATAGTACTGTGTTATTTGAATTCCGAATTCAAGATCTTATCCAATGAGTAAAAGCTAAACTCTACAATATCCAATCGTATGATTCTTATCTTGGGGAAGAAAGCTGCTTGCAAATATTGCCTCTGGCAAACAACATATTAGTATTAGAAACATAGTGAATCCACTAGTGTTCGAACTAGGACATCTATACAAGAATATAACTTAATGATACCTTTCGAACGGTGGTCACTGATAAACCTTTGCTCACAAGAGTGTCTGCGATCCAACCTCCAACATTTGCTGAGACAGCCATTGTAAGCCAAGGCAATACACAGAAGAGCCCAGATTCTGTGAGATTGAACTTCAAGACCTATGACAGGATTCATTAAAAAGTAATTTTTCCCATCAATACACGCTCATGGTGGCCACCATTTTTCTTTTTCAACTACATTATGTGATCATACTAAATTGTAGCACATATTCGCAACAGACCCTGACATTGTATGTACTCACCAGTTTTCACTTTGTTTGCCAGCAGAGTGAAAAAAAGAAGATCACATCTCTTGCAGATTTTAATGTCCAACTATGAGTCAGGCGATTGTAGAAATTGAGCCACAAGTTAAAAATGGCAATAAACATGCTTGTAGGGTATAGACACATGCAATGATTATCATTTAGAAGATTTTAAGCTAACTTAGGGTGACTGCTTATTGAAAAATTTCCTTACAACATGACTTGCCTAGATTTGAATCTCTAACGGGATTCACCTCTAAGTAATCAGGGGAAAAGAGAGAGTATTTTGTATAGTTTCTGCTCCAACATTTAGCTTAGCACTGCTAAATGTTTCCTCAGTATCTCAAGTTTAATATTTATTAGTGGTTTACTTGATTTTTCAATATAGCAACCAAAGTATTTATTAAATTTTTTGGAGATTAAGAAAGTCCAACAATCACCAGCTAATAAATCATAGATCACACAGAAGTTAAATTATTTACAATCCTGGAAGATTCCAACAATCACCAGCTAATAGTTTGCAGAAATTACATAAATACTTCAAAATTTTGCCACACCTCAAAGTTTAGGAATCCCATACAATCACAGTGAATGGAAAGACCACCTGGTTCCTTTCCGGAAAAGACTACCTACCTGGTTATAGTATGTAGGCATCCAAGTAAGAAGAATAAATGTCCCCCAATTGTGGCAGAAGTGAGACACTATTAAGGCCCATACAGGAGCTTTTGACAAGATTAATCTCCATGGTATAGATTTAACAGGTTCCTTGGATACGCTGTTGCCAAGAATCAGCTTCTTTTCTTCAGGCCGCAATTGAGGATCCTCCAGAGGTGAGCTGTGTGCCTACAGCAAAATCTTCCAGATGAAACAAAGAGGTTTGACACATATATTTGTTATGATATACTCATGCTGCTTATAAAGACAATTATATAATAAGCTCCAAAAAATTCATAACAGAAATATAACTGGAAAAATTATAACAGATTAGAAATTACCATATTTAGCCACACTGCAAACCAAACAGTGCCCAAAGAACCAAAAGAGTAAAAGACTGATGGCCAGCCATACTTCTGTATCAAAAATGGTGAAAATGCCAGGCCAGTTACGGATCCTAGGTACATTCCACTGTACACCAGCGCCAACGATCTACTTCTCTCTGCCACAGGAACCCATTTTGAGAGAAGATTATTCATAGCTGGCATAGCCACACCCTGTAAGAGAACACAACCCAAGTAACCCATCAGAAGAAGGGGGGAACCACAGAGACTGGTGTTAAGAATGACCGTCTGATTGGAAACAAGATTGTGTTCCAGTTGAACGTATGTAGATAACATAATTAGACTGTATAAAGATACCCTCATTTCATTTGTTCATAAAACCACTCTTGAAGAACTGGATGGCAATAAAGAAGTTTCACTGAAATAGATGGAAGAAAATGAAGATAAGAAAAATGAGCGAAAGAACCTCGCCAATCCCCATGAAAGCACGAACAACAAGTAAGAAAGGCAACCCAATCCTGGCGGCTATTGGCGTGAGAGCTGTAGCTACAGACCACCAAATTACACCGAAGGCTAAGACGAGTTTCCCACCAACAGTGTCAGCCCAAACACCTCCTGCAATCTGAGCAGAACCTTATATTGCAACTTCATCCATTGATGGATGCACATTCAAATTACAGCAAGCTAAAGACAAACTTTAAAAACAAAATTGCTAAGAAACAGAGGAGTATCCCAATAGTTCAGACAATGCATACATTCAGAACAAACAAAAGTTACCAATGCTCCATTTTCTTCACTGCTTTTCTAGCAGTAATTATTGACAAGGAGGCATTCATATTTGTAATGTGTTGAAAGATAAACGAAGTTATAAATATAAAAAATAAAAAATAAATAAAAAAAAGTTAAGGTGTTTGAGAATTTTACTTGATATAATAAATAGTGTCATTTGATCTGGAAAATTTGCCAACAATGAAATTCTCTGATTATAATACGTCATAATAGATGAGAACTCTCTGGGTGTAAATCGCAGAATTTAGGTGTATAATGATAAACGGCAAAATACGGATGACTTGCCTAGTAACATTGCAATGACATAAGGGAAGTGTCCATTTGATACCTGAGTGAGAAGGTAGCCCCAGAAAAATGAAGATTGTATCAAACCAACGGTTGACGGACTCCAATTGTACTCCGATGACATGGGAAGTATAGCAATGCTCATGTTTACCTGCCAAACAAAGTCTGCTTAAAGTTCCTAAACTGAAAAGTTCAGCTTCTGCGAATGGTTTACACATGAAATCCTTTATATCACATGAACTTGTCACTTCTAAGCTAAGCTTGATTGTTAGACAAATTTACAATGGCAAATTAACAAATTCAGCGAACTTTATACTCTATGGTAATTAAAGAAAGACAGAAACAAAACAAAAAGTAAAGAAATGATGAATGAAGTAGAGAAGCTTACTCTATCCATATTGCATAGGAGAAAAGCAGAGAAACAAAGAACCACGATGACCCAACGTTTGGGGAACTGTTCCCACCACTGAACCACCACTCCGTCTCCATCTTCAGCTCTCAATACGACGTCGCTCAGAGCGTCCTCAAACTCCACCGATTCCGGTGGGGACTCAGCAACTTCGTACGGCTCCGACTTAACGTCCGCCCGCACTTTCCCGATGTCTCTACGCGACAAACCATCGGCAACAACCAAATTTATCGGCGAAACACGAAACAATCCGGTCCGTCCAAGATGAAAAACTCGCAACTGCAATATTTGCCTTTTGGAGTCGAAATCAGAGTAGAAAATTTTTCTCGGAACCGAAATGGCCGGCGAACTGTGGTGCTTCGGTGGAGAGTAGAAGGCGATGAGGAAGGTCCTCGCATTCATGGCGCTTGAGAATCCCACCACTGTTCACCACTTCGCAGTAGGATTGAGAATGCCATAGATTTTTCCACTTTTAAAGCTCCCAGGAAGAGATATTTTCGGGCACTGGTTGTACTTTTGACACGTGTCAATTTTATCGAAGGGATTAGACGGAGAGAGTTGTCACAGGATATTATAGCCCCTCAGAGCAATGCCATTGAACGCTGAGGGTGGTGGTGGTTAAGTCTGTTTTCATACGTGATGTCGCATGTTCGATAGTTCGTACGTTCTTTAAGAGCCGATACCTCTTATTTTTTAGGTACATATTTTTAAATTAATTCGATATGAAATTGTCAATACAAGCCTAAATAACTTGTCAAAATTTGTTGATCATTACTATAGTCATTGAATTGATGTAAACTCTATTAAATATTAAAATTTAATATTAATTTAACAACTATAATATAATCACATCATTAATTTCATAAATTAGATCAAAATTTTAAATTAAAATAACACTGATTGTCGAGTTTTTGATGAAATTATAATAGAACCAATAAAATACATAAGTTTAAATCTAAAATGATTTTATAATTAAAATGTAAATTACTCTTACAATTTTTTATTAATTTAAAAAAAAAAAGTTAAAATGCATTATATTTCTACCAATAAATATTTAAATTTAATTTTTGTTGATTAATGACGAATTTGAATTGTTTCGAAAAAAGTTACTACAAAAACTTAACTCTTTTTAGTTAATTTAGCAAACACTATCTACATAAAGGAAATATGATAAATTTGAATAGTTCTTTAATGATATAAGAAAGACTTATAGTAATTTTTTTCTTTGGTCTATCTAGAATTATGGGGATTTGAGGTGTCCACAATAGTTAAAAGCTACAATTTTTATTCTCGTGATGTGACATAAAAGGCATTACATCTATGAAAATAAATGTCTTTGGTGCCATTATCACCTTAAGCTAAACTTTAAAATATAAAATATTGCATTATCATATATATAATTGGGTAAATTAGTTGTGGGTACACCTTATACGTCTTATTTGAATAAAAATTCACGGCTTATCTTGTAAGCGATTAAGTCCTTCAAATGGTAAAATATTTGTAAGTAAATACACATTTCAATTTTTATTTTTTTAATATTTTCTAATTATTGTTATCTTGATTCATGCGGAACTAATTGACAATTTCTTTTTTCTCAAATATGAAAATATTTAAAAATATTTTTTTTAGTGTTATTGTGATATATTCAACCATTTAAATTTTCAAAAACTAATTATTCTAGTTTGCTTCGAAAAAGCTTTTCTTTAGCAATTTTTTTTTTTTGAGATTTTATGTTTCAGTTATCGATGCCGATTAGTCAAGAATTTGAACCAAGTTTGTTACGTATTTTTTTTCTTTCAATAATACCGTTTTTTCTGATAAATTGTTTGATTGTTGTCATCTTCTTTATTTTAGATTTTTTTAAAAAAATATTTTAATTGCTTTCGTCTTATACAATTTTATTTTGTTTGGTTTTTTGTGTTCTAGACATTTGTCACGGGCCATAGTATATCTCCGAACAAGGTTTGTTTTTTTTCTTTTCCAAATTCTTCTTCTTCACAATTCCATACTTTTTCAAAAAAATATAGTTTGATTGTTGTCGTCTTTAATATTTGTATTTGTTTTGTTTGAAGGGTTTCAATTCTTATGCCATTTTATTTTAATTCCGGAATTTCAATAGTTTGTCCAAATAAAAAATGTCGATCCACCTGTTGTAATTGTTATTCAAACATTGAATTTTTTATTTTTTGCGAATCGGATTTTTTTTAATTTGACAATTGTTGATTTCTTGAATCAGAATTTTTCAAAGAACTAATTGTAAATCATTCTTTAAATTCGACTTATTCACCATAACTATTTGATAATGAGTGAAGTCACTATATATAAACACTAGTCATAACCTGTGTCTGAGGACACAATAAAATATAAAATTCGATCACCCAAAAAATCAATTCCACTATATTAAATTTTTTCAGCATGTGTATATATATGAATAATGTTTGAAATAAAAATTATATTAACTACAGATTAATCAAATATTAAATAATTAAACATATGATAAAAATGAATGATGTGAAGTTTTTAGAGGGAAAATATTAAACGTGTGATAGAAATGAGTGATATAATATTTTTTAAGAGATAAAATATGTAAGAAATAAAAATTCAAGTTGCTACGTGTGTTTATTATATAGATGTTACATTATATTGTCACATTATTTTGAAATATATTAGTTGTGATAAAATTGTGAAACTGTCTGTTTTAAGTTGAAATTATGTTTGATGCGTAAATTATATATTTGTTGACAATTTAGGACTAAGGAGATCTAATTTGGATTGCTCAAATTTGTCGGGAAGATTTGTTTTTGAGCAGACAATGAACTAGCTTCGATGTAGCAAAGCAATGAAAATGCATTGTTTGTACCGATTCTTTAGGGTGAAACAAAAGCTTATACTAGAATGAAAATATATGCACCCTAAAATAGTGACAGCAAAGTGTGACATTAAGCAGTGGTATCAAAACTATGGCACATAGTGTTAATGAAAAATATTAAAAACTGAGAATTGCATCCGTTTGGACAATAATAATAAAACTAATTTACAGTCACTGCAAGAAACACATGGGTTTTGAGTCACTGTTTTTTGCTTCGGCAAGGTAGTACCCCAAAGCAGAAAAAGAAGTATTTGCTTCGGCAATATTGTGAAGCAAACAAATTTTAAATTCAAAACGATGTCATTTTATACTTATTTTTCATAAATGACATGATTTTTAAGAATCCTAGAACTTAAATCCCCTATTCCCTTTTCCTCATTCCTCTCGTTAGACGTCTCTCTCTCTCTTTCTCTCTCAGTCGGCCTTCACTCTCCACATCCTCTTTCTCTTTCCCTTTCCCCCATTTCTCTCTGTCGCTACCCCAGCCACTATCTAGCCAACACCATCTCAGCCCAGCCCACCCCACCCCATCTCACCGCCCCTCTCAATCTCACCTCTTCTCTCTCGCTCTCTTCCATTTCACCGCCTCTCTCAAGCTTGCACAGCCCATCTGCGAAGGCCCCCTATCAACACCTCACCACCTCTACCTGCACCATCAAGAGCCACCGCTGCTCCCAAAGGTAGAAGTTGCTCAGAAAGCCATCAAAGACCACTGCATCGATAAGAAGATCAACATCAATAATCTCCAACGATCTAAAGGACTTCAAAGTATGGGTGTCTTTTTTCAACATGATATAAATCGAACACGAAATTAATGGATTAAAAAAAATCAAGTCGTTTAAATCCGAAAAAAATCATGTCGAGTTCATATTAAAATTAGATTGACTCTTTTTATAATTTTATGTTTTAGTTGATAATTTTTACTTTTGTTTGTCTATCGATCTTTGAATCACTCATGTTTTTTAGGGAGACGACCTCGATTTTCAACGGAGTTATGAAATTATACATTTTGAACAATTTTAAGATCAACTCACTTTCTAGGTCAAGCAATTATCCTATTTTAGCTCGGGTAGTCAACCAATTAGCTTGTCGTGGAGTTGATGCCGCTTCACTTGGTGGCTTTGACTGCTGAATACGATTTGCGGCCATTGCTTTTGTGAAATGATAATCTAGTTAACAAGGCAGGTTTCATTTTGCAAAAATGTTTTAGGAACTCATTTCCTTTCTAGAGGGATCATTTCTTCGGAAAAACAACTTGTAGACACTAGCATTATCACTAAATACTTCAGTTACACTGGATTTTTTTTTTTTTTTTAATGATTTTCTCAGGTCGTATCAAGCTTGAATAACTTCCAGATACGTTTCCCAAAGTAGAAATGATTGTACGCTGAATCATGGCCAAACCTCTCTCCAGGTGTTAGGTTTTCTAAAGAATTATTCATATAAATGGTGAAGGTGTTGAATTCCATTGGTGTATGTCCATGATGTGTTAATACAAGTGGCTTACCCTCCAAAACTAAAACAGTAAACAGTGTGTATTCCAAGAGTTCTTCTACCACTAGTTTTCTTTTACTTGATTTATAGAGTGTATTTTTTATGTAAACACAAAAAAAAAATTGCTTGTAAGACAAATAATTTGGGTTCAATGGACTTTTGTTCGAAGCATCTAATTTCCAAACCATCCTTTGTGGTTGTACTGATAGTCCTATGTTTATAACGAAGCATTCCTTTTTTTTTTTTTTTGCATTCCCTTTGGTTTATTGAATTGATGTTATCGAATCAATACTCCAGTAATGAATTGCTTTGTCAATATTATGAAGATTCTTATCATTTTAAGTGTGGGTACATCTTTGAGTATGTTAGTAAATTTGTTCATCAGTGAGATTACTTGTATGTGCAGATGGGATCTATTGAGGAGAAGATAGACTTTGAATCTGATGAAGAGATAACTTTTAACTCATCACAAGCCACTACTAAAGTGCAAGCTTTGCATTTTGAGACATCTCACATTGTATCATGATTAAACCTAAATGCATATTTATCCTATTCTTTATGGGTTAATTGTCACGAGCATGGACTTAATTTTATGAGATTAATGCTATGTTTGTTTCTATCATAATTTAATTGGTATTTGCCTATTTTGCAAGTAATATGACAAAATACAAAGGTAAGAAGGCAAACGTGGGAATGGATGGCACAAAGAAAGAGAGTTAAAGAAAAGAGTTCTAAAGACCACGTTTGGATGTCATATTAATTAAGTTTGGACATGGGGTTCTGCATAAGAGAAAGAATTGCAAAAACTTTTTCAAAAATTCTTTTTGCATCTCTTGTCAGGTGCCTATAGATCTAGGTCTAAGAGAGTGTAGTCAAGTCTTAGCTTTTTCCTTCGGTGAGAAAGGGAAAAGCTTTAACATAACTGTACTCGCTGTCACAGTCTAATCATGGAATGTGACACATACCTCCTCAAAACTCAAATATGTAAATAAGGATTTTCAGAGTTCATGCCATGAAATTTTGGAAGTAATGCAATCATGCCAAGTTTAAAAATAAAATTTGTGGCCTACAATGGAAATATGATGCATGAAGGTACAGTATGTCATGCAGGTTGCAAATTTTCACGCAAAGTCTGACTTGGATTAACATTCATATTATCGACATTATTCTCATCATGATTACTTATTCTATCATCAGGATCCTCTTGTTCAGAAAAATTATTTCCCCTATTGTTAGGAGGATCTGCAGTCATCGTGTGAAGTGTGCGAGACAATTCAGAAGAGCCAAATAAATTTCCAAACAGAATGTCTAAATCTTCCCTAATTAATCGTCCATTTGAACCACGATGCCAAGAGCTCATACAATGATTAAAAGCAAAAAGTTCAAGCAAAAAACAAAAATTAACTGTTAAAAAGTAATGAATTTCAGCAAAAATAGAAATAGAACGAAGTTACCAGATTTCTGACAAATCATAAACCACAGAAACCCCAGTGGAAATTATAGTGGTTCCTTGTCTTTTAACAATTCTCTGACAATAACGCCAAAAATTTGCTATAACTTTAATAGTGTATACCCAAGCATAGGTTGTGCAAAATAGTATATTCTCGGGAATTTGAGATCAAATCCTTAGGGAATTGTGAAAACAAGAAACACATATCAATTCTAATAAAAGAAAATTGTTTAAAATTCTCTTGAAGAGAGATTCCACTTATCAAAATGAAAATGAATTGATTAAAACAATAATTAGAAACACTAAAGTATCAGGGATACCCCCTCAAATCCATACAACAATTATTAAAAATTCAGTTTTTAAACTCAATTGAGAATCAGTTGAAAAGTGATCTCAAACGCATATCCACCAATGTTTATAACCAAGATTCTATCCGAATAAACTCAAGAATTCATCTGCAGATCGCAAGCATTCACTGTGTCCAGAGTCTACAATGAATCAAACTCTCCAGCAAATTAATCCTAGACTTATCCACATAATCCCTTGATTATCTTATGAAAATCATGTTAATTAACTCAAGCGTGAAATACCCAATTATTTAACTTGCAAATAAATTCAAGCAATTCAATGTACATGACACAATGAATCAAGAACTTTTACTGAGCAAAAACTTTACTAAATTCAAAGTTTGAATTAACAGAATAAAACAAGCAATTAAACTCTTGGATTAATAATAGTACCGTATTTCATTGAAAACTTATCTCCTAGCTTTAGTTGGGCTTTTTAGCCAGACATAGTTACCATAAAGAATAAGAATAAACAATAGCCAGACATAGTATTGTATTTCATTGAAGGCTTCTCTCCTAGCTTTAGATGGGCTTTTTAGCCGGACATAGTTGCAAATACCATAAAGAATAAGAATAAACAATAGCCCTTTTCTCTAGAAACTATTTTTCTATTTATAATTAATAAAGCAATCCCCAACTAGGTTACAACGCAAGGCACAGAAGTCTGGGCAAGTAATAATACGCGTTTAGACGCAAAACAGGTATCCTCCGAACACAATAAACAGTACGTTTTCCCATTCTTCAAAATCTCCATACCCCCTCAAGCCTATTTTGGATATCCTGTCCGGACGCGATCAATAGAAGACTCCTCCTATTCACCTTGCTTAACTGCAAAATGAAACACAAACATTCCAATAAGAAAGATCAAACCAAAACCTAGATATATTGATACATTTAATACTCTACCTAACATAATTAATCCCTATCAACCGCCAAATGAATACATTATGAGATGCTAATCACACTACCTTACCAAAAAAAACATGTAATAAGTACACCTCTATAAAACCATGATTTTTTTCATTCACTTCCATAAGGAAAGGAATATGCTAAAAAGTGTTTCGGATGCCTTTCCTGTGGAGCTTTAATTCGTTGATGGTCACTTCTATATTTTAGGGATGAGTCTTCAGTTTGTTGGGCATTACACCTTTGGCAGAGCGCCTTGGTTATGAAACATATTCCATTAGTTGAGTATGTCATTTATGATATTATCATATTTTTACCAATTTATGGTATTCTGCTATTCAATATTTTATCTAATCAAAAGTGGAGGATTGTACACAATAAAAACAGAAATTGCATGCATTATTCTGCACAACACAAACACACAAAACTCCCAAAGAAATTAAAATGTTTCAAAATTTTTTATACTAGTTTGGATGTTTTGACAACAAAGAGTGAATCCACACATTTTAATCCAAAAAATGAAGTTGGACATTCAAATTAAAAATATACTCAAATAATGTAACAAGGAATACTAAATTCACTATTTTATATTAAATAATAAGATACTACACAATAAAGAGTTAATCCACCCATTAACACAATGCAAGATTCATGATTAAATCACAAATAGTAACTTATATTTTTTCAAACAAGCAAATAAAATGAAAATAAGTACTCCATTCACAACTATATCAAAATGATGTGACAACAAATACTAAACCACACAAAAATCCCAAAAAAATTAAAAAGTTTTAGTAATTTTTGAAATTAGTTTAGACGTTTTGCAACAAAAAAGTGAATCCACACATTTTAATCAAAAAAATGAAGTTGGGCAATCAAATCAAGAATATGCTCAAATAATGTGACAAGAAATAGTGAATTCACTATTTTATATTAAAAAAAGAAGAGAATACACAATAAAGAGTTAACAAGCAATTAAATAAAATGCAAATAAAAACTTCATTTACAAAGCTATCAAAATGATGTGACAACAAAGAATGAATCACACAATACTCCCCCCAAAAAAAAATGTTTCAATAGATTTTTGAAACTAGTATGGTCTTCCAACTAAAAAGTTTACCTCACTCTTTCAATCCAATCAAATGAAGTTTATAAATCACCTAAATAACATATTAAAATAATGTGACAACAAAAAGTTGATTCATTATTTGTTTTTAAAACGTAACCCACAATAACGATTTTCCCAAAAGTAAACAACTTATACACAATCAGTTTCTCAGATTTACAAGAGCGAGCGATTATATACAACTCAAAAATATATTCTATTAATGTGACAACAAAGAGTGAATTTGCTATTTTAACAAAAAAATGAACTCTTAATATAGAATTCCACAAAAAACAACAATTTATAAACTGCAATATTCTAAAAAACGCAATAGAATGACTAAATAATGTAAAATACATAAACTTTATTTTTTAATGCAAATTTGATACTCAAAGATCAAAATTTAGAAAAAGAAATTAGAATATCATGAAAATGATATCATCAACAATTCACTATACAAACTAAGGGTTATGTATCAATAGTTTATAGAGTTTTATTGTAAAAAATTAAAAAAAGGTGTTGTTTTTCACCTTTACTTGTCGATTATTAATACAAAAAATCGGATTTAATGGTGTTGAATGAACTATTCCGGTGTTAGAAGCTTCAAATTATAAGTTCTTAAATTGGTATGCTATGTTATGTTATCTCCTCCAGGCGGATGATTTTTTTTTTGAGACTGAATTTTATGACTCTAAAAAGATATGGAGTACTGAAATTAAGGGAATTTTTTTTTTTTTTAAATTTCAAAGGAATGAAATCAACGCGTTTTTCGTTTGTTGCTCGATCAGACGTCCATGTTTGAGGGATAGTGGCCACCTGTTGCCATTGATTCAAGGAATGTTATTTTGGTTTCTTTAACTGGAGAAAATAGTGGTTACAACAGTTATACCGTGTCACTTTACTGACATGGTATAACAAACCAACCAAATTTTATCATTCTTACAGCTGGCATCCTCATCATAAAATATGCCACATCAACAAATAAATAAAAGATGCAACAATCTTCATTAACGCCGTTAACTCTCTGCAGTTTTCTCTCTCTCTCCAGTATGGTTGTGCATATGAATTTTATTCCCCGCCAAACTCTCATGATGTGGTGATCGTGACTCCTACAGTTTTCTGCTTCTTCTTCCTCATCTTCTAGTCTCTCTGTAACTTTTGAATACAACTGAAACTATAACTTGTCAAGCAGCAGAGTTGATGCATCAAACAATATTGCCGAAGTTTCTTGAACCTCTACACAACAGGTGGGTTACTCCCTTTTTCTACTCAGATTCTTCCGCAAATTGATCTAATTTATATATAGTTTTAATTTTGTAATGCGGAGGGCGGTCTCAATGCCGATGGTGCAAAGTTGTTTGTTCATGTTGTGAATCCTTCTAGCTCTCCGTATGCTTATATGGTTTTTGGAAAATGCTGTTTGAATCTAAAAAATTGACTTAGTGATGTAATTTCATTGGAACCATTGGATTAACACCAAGTTTTAATGTTTGATGGAGCCCACAGTCAATCCAAAGGTCATAGTGAATTATATTAGTAAATTAGGCCGCAATAACATTGCTCATGTTTTTTATTTCTCTTAGGACACAAAAAAGAATGACATCCTTTGACTTATCACAAAATGAAACACCGGAGCAAATATCTGAACATGAGAATGTCAATATAGATACCACTTTATTCATTTATGTAATTACGACTGGTGTTTTAATGAGACATTCTATGGTGCTATTATAATTAATATTATTATTTTTCATTTTATGTGGATCGGACAACTTCTAAATGGATATGAAATGATAGTTGGTGCCTTCATATGTACAATTATACCATCTTTACGTTGCAATAGACTATAATATAGTCCTTTTGGATTTTTTTGACATTTTATTTTTTGGTCAAATCAGTTATTAACATTGATGATAATGATGAAGATTATGGTGGGATTAGAATTGGAATTAAAGTTTATAGCGAAGATGAAGCATATAGACTTTATTGTCAACATGCGATACAAAAGGGTTTTGATGTTCGAAAAGGAAATGTCCGGTATGGTGCTAATAGAACTGTTCGTCAGCGAGATTACTTGTGCTCAAATTCAGGCATTCATTCTGAACCAAAAAAAATCAATAGAGTGGTGAAGCGAACGAATTGCAATGCCTTTATTCGGTTTACTGTTAGAGATGGGGCTTGGGAGGTTAGTCATTTTAATGATATTCATAACCATAAGTTTGTTGTACCCGAAGACCAACAGTCTTTAAAAGTAAATAGACACATAAAATGTTGCTAATGCCAGTGTCATCAATTACCTGGTTGACGCGGGTATTGGAGGGACAAAGACATATTCGTATTTGGCAAAAAAAGTTGGTGCTGAGAATGTTGGATTCACACAACGAGATTGTTAGAATTTTATAAATAGAAGAAAAGTAAATTTGATTGAGAAAGGGGTTGCTCAAAGTGTATTGGCTCGTTTCAAATTTTGTCTTACCAATCACCCTATGTTTTATCACTCAATGGAATTGGATGAGGATAGTTGACTAGCAAATTTCTGTTGGAGCTATGGACGATCAAAATTGGATTATGATTGCTTTGCTGATGTTGTGATATGTGATACCACATACAGAACAAATAAGTATAATATGGTATTTGCTCTTTTCGATGGCATCAACCACCATAGGAAGAATATATTATTTGCTTGTGCCTTTCTCTTAGACGAGACCATCGATACATGGCACATTTCAAAAAATGCCACCCAAAAACTTGGGGGTTTGTACTCAAATTTTGGGTTTAGGGGCTTATTTTTGAGGTGCTTAAATGATTGTGAAACAGTGGCAGAATTTGAGTCAACTTGGGGTGAAATTATTAAAAGATTTGATCTTACTGGCAACAAATGGCTTCAGATGATCTACAAAGTGAGAGAAAAATGGTGTTTGGCTTTTAGCATGGATATTTTCACTCTTCGCATAAAAGCCACTCAGAGAAGCGAAAACATTAACAATGTTCTTCATTAGATGTCTTGTAAAACTATGAACTTGTTGGAATTTTTGCATCACTATGAAAAGCAATGTGAAAAAATGCGATTAGCCGAAAGACAGGAAGATTATCGTTGCAAACATGGTACTCCACAATTGCGTGTTCAGGGTAGTAAAATATTGATGCAAGCAGCTACCTTGTACACAATTACTATTTATAACTTGTTTGCCAACAAATTTGTTTCTAGTTTGACTATACATTTAGAACCTCTGTTCTGTGATGGCCAATTTTATATTTATGACTCGAGTGCAAAAAGCCAAGAAAGGCATTACACTATGGAATTTAATTTGCCAACTTACAATGTTGTCTGTTCTTGTAAAATGTTTGAGTCCAAGGGTTGGTTATGTCGGCATGCACTTAAAGCATTAAATATGTGGAGTATCACTGAGATTCTAGCTAAGTACATATTGACCAGATGGACAAAATTTGCTAGGAAACAAAATCCAGTCCAAGAGTGTGGAGAGTCCTCCAAAAAGAGAAAATCATCATTGATAATTGAAAGAAATTATTTAGTGCAGTTGGCTTATCGCGCTATTAGTCATTTAGTCATGACAGATGAAGGAAAGAAGATGGCAAATATGAAAGTGGCAGAATTGTGGGAAGAAGCCAAAAGACTCGTGGACATTAGCAATCCAAGGAACAATGGTGATACATTTTGGTGTTGATTGTGCACGTGAAACATTGGTTTTAGACCCTCCATCTGTGAGAGAAAAAGGAGTAACAATGCTCGCAAGAAAAGCTATTTGGAGAAGAAGAAGCCAAGGAAGAATGGAGGTTACACATGTTCTCAATCCGGTTTTGAACCAGGTTAGAAATCCTTTTGTGTTAGATTGCTATTGATATAAGATATTGGTTTTAACCATCTTACATTTCTTTTTCTGTTTTTAACAAAGGAAAAAGTAGACCACCTTATAATGACGGGGTTTCATTTAATCCACCAGCTTTTCACCCACCAGTCCATTCACCTGGCATGCCCCTACATGTTAACTTTCATAATCAGGTATGTTGTTTCTGCAATTTTTATTATCTTAATTAATATTCTTTTTTTCATGTGTTTTATGAGTTTATATAATAATGTAGATAACTCCATCGATTGTTGCATCCTCAAGTATTGCAAACTTGCCCAAAAATACACAAGTTTTTAAAATTTCAAATTCATATGTTGTCTTACATGTCATATCATTGTATTAACTATTTGACTAATTGATACATAGGATTTCAATCCACATTGGTCTTTAGTTAATCCTACCTCCAATTTTGCTACCATGCTTCAACGTAATGATCAAATGTTACATCTATCTCAGGTATTGCATTGACTATATTTTACAAAAAAATTTCAATCACCATTGTCAACCTCAAGAATCATGTTGTGGTTAAACATAACTCACTACCACAAAGGCCATCAACTTTACATATTCAATCTGCCGACAAATAGAACCAGAAATCGGATGTAGCTAATATTTGATAGAATTGTAACTTACAATTTTGATATTCAAGCTGCCGACAAATAGAACCAGAAATTGGATGTAGCCAATATTTGATAGAATTGTAACTTACAGTTTTGGGACTTTTTCAATCCACTATCACATGAAACTAACCAAAAGACATTGCCTATGCAAAATAGAGAATAATCCATGCACCAACTTCATATCAGAGCACATTTGGAGCACATGAGGACTATGTTACCTATAAAGATATCAACAAAGAATTTGGTTGATAGATTTTTAGTCATACCACACATAAATACCAACAACCAACTAAACATTAAACACATTGTTAAGTGGAAATACATACCATTGTTAGCTATCCCTCATTCTTTGGATGGTTAGGATAGACAACTTCAAATAATGACAATATGTCAGCTAGTTGGTGGTTGGTTTAGATTTGATTTTGTCAGACATTTCAACGTATACTTGATGTGCATTATCAAGGAAATAGGTGGAGACAGCAAGTAGAGTTATATATATATATATATATATATATATATATATATATATATATATATATATATACACACCATAACAACCAATCGAAAAGGTGTCCTTATCAAGTTTGTTAGTGGATTAAATTTTGATTTAAGTTTAAATAATCAGATATCGATTAATAATTTTAATCGATAGTCCAAATTTATTTGATAAGGTATTGAGTGCATTAAGAATTAGGTGATGAGAAGACTGCTTTAGCACAAAAATTGTAGACTGCCTAAATGCAAAGACAGCTAGGATCATTTGGTAGCATGACATGTACTTTGGAGTTGGCCTCCGTTTCATACTCAGCATGGAATTTCTCGTTTCTCCACCATAAGAAGACTTAATTTATTTAGGCAGACATAATATTATGGTAAATCATAGATTAATATAGAGCTTATCACATGGCACCTAATCTCTGGAAAGTCAACCTACAATAAATTAGGTATAAATACTATTATTATTTTTCTTATGATCACGAAATACTGGAAAATAATTCAAGCTATGTAAAACTCTATAGAGGTAATTTATCTTCCTAAAAAAACCAGAGAGACGATAATCAACGGTCAAATCATATTTAGGGATCTATATCATAACATGAGTTGAAAGACTCTTATTTAAGAGAGAGCCGAAAGATAGAGCAAAAACCCCGATGAATCACTAAGGATAAAGGAATAAAATTTTTAGTGCTAAATACTTTCATTCTAATGTTTAATAGAGTTCACAGTCAATATAAAATTACTGGAGCCTACGGTAATAATAGCATTACTCAATATCGAATGTTGTCATAACTTACCTTCAAGTTGACCTCAAATCCTGCATAAATTCTTCCCCTAATCAAAATAAAAGAAATTTGAATGGGCCCACCAGTTGACAACTTAATACCTGCCACATCAAATGTTCAAACGGTTCACTCCACGTAAACGTGTTTTTTGCCTTTCTATTATTGAGCTATCCTTTAATTAATGTGCTAATGTTTTGAATATTCCCACGATAATGTGTTTTCAATATTCCTACGATAATGTTTTAAAATGGGTGCTTCTCTGCTTCGTCTCTTCTTCCATGACTGCTTTGTCCACGTAATTCCTCTAGCCTCCCCTTTAACTTGAATGTGATTAACTTTCTTTCTAAACTATCATGTAGGAGAATCATCATATTCGAAAAGTACCATAACGCATAGCTGCATAGACTGCTGATGAATAATTTCCATCACTGAAAACTAGACCAAAACACATATACTTATATCAAAAACAGTAGCTAATTAACACATACATTAATTAAACCAGGTCGAGGGTCTATCCGAGATGTCAAATATCACTACTTGTGAAGTAATGTAGGACACTCTGTCGAATACCTTCCTCCTTCCTCTCCCTTCCCCAGCTCCTCGTAACATATTGTAGTGCAGCAATTTATATATATAAAAAATGGTAGTCCAGTTCACAAAGTTCTCGCCGCCACTGTGGGGTTAGGATAGAGAGATTGTTTTGCAACTCAAACTCTTGATGCCAAACCCATATCTGTATGAAAGATAAGCAGATATTAACTGCTTTCATGTTCTCATGGCTTCAATTTTTAATGATGTTCTTGCGTGTGACCTGGGTTTTCTTTTGCTGAATTATAGGAGTTCTATGGTCAATACTCCTTGATGATACTTCGTCTTTCAGAGGGGAACAAACTGCTGGTCCAAACAACAACTCTATCAGGGGACTAAATGTGATTGACCAAGTCAAGTCTAAGGTGGAGAATGTGTGCCTGGTGTGGTTTCATGCGCTGATATCGTAGCTCTTGTCACTCGAGATTCTGTTACCCTCGTGAGTTACAATCCAAAATACTTAATAGCACGACAACACATTTTTTGTTATTTTTTTTTTTGCTATTAATAGCACGGCGATACATTTAAACAAATTTTTACCCGGAACAAATGCAATGAAGTCATAAACAGTCACCTTCAACTAACAACTGCTTCTCTTCTGATCCATGATTATATATAACTTTGTCTTGGTTGCAGCTTGGAGGGCCGAGTTGGGATGTGAAACTTGGAAGAAGGGATTCGAGAAAAGCTAGCTTTCTGGTGCCAATGGTGGCCAAATTCCTCGTCCCACTTCTACCCTTAACAACCTCATCAACAGGTTCCAAGCAAAAGGTCTCTCCACCAATGATATGGTTGCTCTATCACGTAACATACATGATACATCTATATGTGTATACGTGTGTGTGTGTGTGTCAATGGTTGCATTGCGGTATCTATTGGGTGGCGGGATAGCAGTGGCTGCTTCGTTCATGTTGCTATTGATGGCGCTGGCAGCAACTATAAGAGATGGAAAATAAGAGAGAAGAGAGATAGGGAGAGGAAAGAGAAGTTGCATTTACGTTGGAGAAAGGAGACTGGGATAAGGGAGAGAAGAGAGATATCAGGAGACAAAAACACTAAGAAAAGAGCTTAGAGAGATAACAACGAATGAGGGATAAAAAGAGTTAGAAGCAAGATTTGAATTGCTAAATATGGATTGAAGAGAGAGAGTCTGTATGAGAGAAATAGAGACGTATGAAAAATAAGAGTATAGAGTCATACGATGAGAGGCTTTTTCATGGGCGTCCGTTGGATATGTTTATGTTTTGTTTCAAAACGATATGGACCTCTCTTTGTCTCCAAAATTCAAACTCAATTCTACTTTATTATATAGATGTATTTAAATGAGACTCAATATATATAAGTAATAGTTATTACTTGTGCCTGAAGGTACAGAGTAATAAAAAATAAAAAAAAAAATATATTTATAATTATGTTCAAAATCAAATCACAAATATATAGAAGAGATAAATAAATTTAAATATCAGTTTGTAGTGGGAGTGAGAGGTGATAGTAGGAGATAGTGATGGTTGTGGTGGGTGGCAATGATCGTGGTGGTGGCGGCGGCGAGGGCGGTGGTGGTGGTGGCAACGGTAGAGGTGGTAGCAGTGGTGGCGGTAGTGGTGACGACGGTGGTGGTAGTGATGGCGACGATGGTGGTGGCAGAGGGGTGGCCGATGGCGGCAGTGATGGGGGCGACAACAGCGATGACGGTGGTGGTGGTGGTGGCGGCGGCGACAACAATGGCGTTTGTGGTGGTGGTGACGGCGGCGGCATCAGTGGTGGTGGCAATAGTGGCGATGGCGGTGGTGGTGGTGATGGCGGTAATGACGATAGGTGTAGTGGTGGGGCGATTTCAAACACTATTTTTTTTTAAGCATTTATGAGAAATAATTTCTAAAAGTACTTTTAAAAAGTTAGTCCAAACACACCTTTAGGGACCTATATTTCCTATTAAATTTAGGATGTTAATATTAGCCGTTAGATTAACTTTAAAGTAAAATTTAAAGCGATCTCAACCGCAAATAACAAAAGTCATTTTGTTTATCTTTTGAAATTTGAATTGTAAACTACTTTATTATATAAATGGTAAATGATCTGTCAAGAAAAAAATTGAAGAAAAGAAATAAATAGAACACAAATTCTCCTCAATTTTTTTTCCAATTCCTTTCACAGTTACATCACCCGTCATTTATGATTGGAGGACTTGAATTATAACTGATGGATCTTATATGAGTTAACTAGTCATTGTCGGTGTCTAAAGACACTATATTAAAAAAAATGTACTTAAAAACAATGTGTAACACAAATTATCAATCAATATAGATTCACTATTCAAAAAAACAATTAGTAAAATTCTTATGCCTAAAGGCACTCTTTGACAAAACAAATCCCCAATTAGAAACAATGAGAATCCATCAAAAAGCTTTGCTTACTATAGTAATTGATTTCATATTTAATTTAAGATAGCACAATTATACTTACTACCAAAATACAAAATAACCCAAAAAAACACACTTTAATTTGAAAATTGTATGAATTTGAAAACTTCCCGCCTAAGAAGGAGCCCGCGTGATTGCATAATTCATCTCAAAGCCATAGCACTCCAAAAAAGAATAAGCCTAGGTCCGATGATCCTAGAATGTCTTACCCTTAGCAACCATGACCATTTTCCCACACAACTCTACTTTTTTCGTAATCAAAATCAAACGGTTAGTAAATCAGTCGATCCAATTTACTATAACAATTAAAATTATAAAACTATAGAAAATTAACTTAGCAATTCATATAAAATTAATCGAATACATCAACCTTACTAACTTAGATAATTGAATGCATTAACCCTTGTAAGAGTTGTCATAAAATTCATTTTGCATGTGTTTGAAAGCCACTGCTATGATCATCACAAAAACTCAAACACATCACCTACCCTAGATATTGGAAATGGGTCCAAATCATAGTAAAAAAAAAAAGTCTAGTAAAGTGAGGAATCAAAATTTTAAATCCTCTCATTTCATCAATTTTTGGGATTGGAAAAATGACTTGAAATGGCATACACACAGCCTAATGCAACTACAACCCATAAACCAACTAAGAGACATGTGAAGTGACGTGGGGGCAGCTCTCTTGCTTTTTTTCCACAGATTGCAAAAGCATGCGCTTTAGTGCATCACATAAAATTACTCTAACAATGTTTGTTTGCTTGCACATAAAATTTTCAAAACCTTACGATTTTTCAATTTGTTCACATTTTTAGGGTAAAGCTCAATGATTTCAGGTTGCCAAAACTACAAACATAAAAAATAAGAAAATTTAGATCAATCAAGCATAAAAAATAGGAAACTTCAGATCAAATCCCCATCAATTTCTTACTGCCAAAAGAAAAAGTGTAATGAGCATGAAAACACACTAAAGGTAAAGCTCATGAAAACCCATTGAAGTAGGCTCATCAAATTAACCCCAAAATTAGTGAAACTATATTTATTCAAATCCACCCAACAATTTGATCTAAAATATCATTTATTGTAGCAAAACACAGTTAAACAGACTATAGTGCATCAAAATCTAGACCTGCAAAAGAAGAAGCGTATAATCTACCAAAAACAATTGGAAGTCACCCAAAATCAGTCACATGCCAAAACTTTCATAATTAAGAACAAATATTTTATCATTTTCTTTGTCAGTCTTGCTCTATCAATTTGCTGAGTTTACTCTCTTCCATACACATTTCATCAACAAATTACGAAAAATAAATAACCATTAAAAGATAATTATAGCATGGACAATGTTACTAGGAGGTTTACATATAATTGCAAACATACAAAAGTTTAAAAATTAAATGTTAATAGTACAAAGAATCAAAAAAAAAAAAAAAACTTTCAAAGAATTCAACCAAAATAGAGACTGGCATACAATACATATATTCTATAACTACCCAGTCAATAATGACAATCAGTAGAGACAAATAAAACCCAATTGGGTTATTCTACATACTGCTACTACTCTTTATGGAAAACTTATATTTGTTTATTAACCAAATCACAGTCCCGATACCTTCGATTGTCGCGGGTCGCCGGCATCACTGAGGTGTTGGGGGTCACCGGAGTCTCTAAATCGTCGTTGGCATGCGCTGGTGGGCCTGAGACGATGAGATATATCTCCAAATTTCAAAGCATTCTAAAGGTTTGTCATTAAATTAAAGCTTCACATGTATAAACAAATCAATCACATATTCTATCAGCTGAAAAACAAAGAAAAAAACTAAATCAAATTTTATTTATAATTAAAAAAACCAAAAGAAATTATAATATGAAACACAAAAATATAACTTACTTTTGTCTAATATTTTGGCCAACCAAACAATGCACCAAGCTCTGAAACAAGACATATTAGTGTCATTAATTAGGCAACCAAAACAGTGCATGAAATTCTAAACAACCACCTAAATCTAAAATAATTGTCTAACCAATTAACTTAAAAACAAACCAATCAAACAAATCATTGCTTAATTGAAAATATTATTTAATCAAATGCAAACAACTTGCACATAATTAAAAAGACAAATTAACTCAGAGAGAAATTCCAGTACGGTGAATAGAATTTTAGAGAGACAAAAATAGATGTAATTTCATCTTGGTCAAGTATGTGATCCTTTTTTTCCTTAATACTTCTAGTACTAAAAATACATAACTGAATGAAATGATTACATGCACAAATGTGCAAATCTACTCATAATTTATTATATCCACATAAAGAAAAAGCATTGACATTGGATATCTTTACAATTCTTCAAATGTAGCAACTTCACTTTTTAGCATATCAAAGGTTGGACATGAGAAAAGTTAGGTTTGTGTGATTAAATGCCAATTAGATGTGACATAAATAAGTTTTTAATTAGGCAAGGAAACATTAGCGTAGCATTATCAAAGATAACATATAAAATTATTATCAATGCAACCATTCATAAAGACAAAAGAATAAGTCAATTTCAATATTAAATCATCAATAACCTAAATTACTTTTGAAGTATACGTATAAAGAATGGTCCACATAGCATCTATCAGAAGTAACTTTCTAAGAAAAGTTTACTGTGACGGCTTGTATATAAATTAATCGTTAACACGTTAATTAGGTCATCAATTGTCATTCTATATAACAGAGGGTTATTTTTTTAAAACAAAAAATAAAAGAAATAAATGGACCTTAAATATGGACGTTAAAACGAGAAGATTGACTATAATATAGGTCATATTTTCACATTGAAATTATATATATATATATATATATATATATATATATATATATATATATATATATATATATATATATATAATGGGGTGGGAGTATTATAGGAGTGATTTACACATAAAAAAAATTTTACTTGGACAAAGCATGGACATTTGTTCATGTTAATGCTAGCATTGTTGCATCACCAATGACGTGAGGGGGGTCAAGTTGGCTATAAATAGCCTTGGCCAATGGCCATTTGAACTACATAGAAAAGGGCAGAGGAAGGATGAAGAAAAAAAAAAGAGAGGGAAAGAAAGAAAATGGTCAAAACTTTGTCAACATAGGAGTTCAACCTTGCAATAAAAAATTTGGGTATGATTTTTCAGTTGTGATTCGGTAATTTTATAGATTCAAATCACCCAAATTTAATCCTTGTTAAATATTTTTGGATCAAATTCAACTATCGTTATTTTCCGTTAGATGTTCTAAAAAATTATATTTAGTTTAACTAAGTCATGATTACTTATTTTTATTCTAAAATATTATTTTAATTGTTTTGTCACAGTAGTATACAGTATCGAGTTAAGATTATGTCAAATGTAAGGTTTCCTTTATCTTTTACTGTCCTTAATGCATCTCATGCATATTTGGTGGTTTCATACCAAACCTATTTTAATTATATAATGTAAAGCTATATCACATTGATCATCGGGTTGAATTTGGGTTTTGTCAATAAATCATTATCATGCACTTGTTATATTTTTATAAAGAAACCATGATTATATTTCGGAACCAAGCGTATAAAATGTTAATTTGTCATATTTATTTAATGTTTGACTTTCTACTTGATGTTATATGTGAATA